ACCAACTAGCCACATGTGGCCAGTAGCTACCATATTGGACAGTGCAGATAGACTATATCATTGCAGAAAGTTCTATTGGACAGTGATGTTCTAGTTTTCCAAGATATAAGTCAAAAGTGTCAGGTTATGGAGGGATCAGTCAAGGAATTTGTACTGAAGGCTATTTGCTCTCATTACCTTCAACTAATGAACACTTCAGTCATCTACTGTGGTCATATCTAAAAGACAGACAGACAGACAGACAGACAAGACAAAGGGCACATCATGCCTATAAAAGTTCTNTTCAGTCATCTACTGTGGTCATATCTAAAAGACAGACAGACAGACAAGACAAAGGGCACATCATGCCTATAAAAGTTCTATACATTTTTAAAGTAATCATGTCATTTTTAGTCTCTCTTTTGGAGGATGTTATTTATTGTAAGACATCATTTTTATTAAATACACTGTAGTACAAGAGACTTTCCATGTCAGGTTGAGAGAAGCTGGTCACATGATTTACAAACAAAACTTTTTATTTTTAAACACTGGTATTCTGGTGTCACTTTGAAATCAGCCAAGATGCAGTGGGTCTTAGTAAAGCAATGGACCTCAAAACAGATTGCAAAACAGGAACCAGTAATTATCAGCACAGAGACATCACATTAAAAAGAAAATAAAGCAAATAAAGAGTTCCAAATACCAGGTCACAATTTAAGGGGCAATATATCTTCAGAGAGATATCGAAATGTGTGTGTGTGTGTGTGTGTGTGTGTGTGGTGTGTGTATGGCCTGGATATATACAAACATCTCTCCATGTACAGAAGCAAATGCAGAGAGTGTCCACATCTCTAGGCAGATTTGTAAGTGACAGGTAATGATCAATGAAGGCAGGGAGCAATATTTTACCATAATTTGGTCATTTGTCAAGAGATTACATATTTAAAATCCACACTTAATTCAAAGACCTTGCATTTAAAATGTGTCCAGCGGTTTTATACATTTTTAAAGCAATAGTAAGATATACAAGCTGTGAGATGTAGGTCTTTACAGTGCATTTTATGTTCTCCAATTTTTATTTTCCAGTTCAAACACGTGACTATTAGCAGCTTTTATTACGCTTGCTCCAGTAGGTTCGACATTCAGCCAGTCTTCACTCAGGATCATTTTTATGAATGCACAGACCAAAGAAATAAAACAAACGCAGACCTGGCCTAGAATGCATAGACTGAAAAAATGACATCCCATGTTTTCCCACTTCGTCTCCTGAGACGTATGGTAAGATGGCAAAATAGTTGCTTGGTTGCTGTTGTGAAATTCACAGTGTTTTGCCTGCAACACATATACATATATATAATTTTTTGCTTTGCTTTGTGTTTGTGATAAATGGAGCAAAATAAATAAATAAATAAATAAATAAATAAATAAATGTAAAAGTAAGAGAAAGGGAAAAAATTCAGAACCTAAAGATATTGAATAACCTTTGATTCGAGAAGCAGTGATTCATTCTAGCCTTGAGGACAAGAAAATACCCTTCATGTGCTGTCGTATTTAACTACTAATCCTGCCCACCTCTAATTCCTTAGAATAACATTTACTATTACAACCTGGGAGTCTCTGCATTCCGCAATGACACATCCTAAAGAAATTGCTTTAACTGCTCATTTAGCCATCTGAGGAGCTGGATCACCAGCCGATCCCTCTCATGAAATTTTCTGTAACAGTGATGGAGGGCCAAACCAAAGCTCAACGTTGGAAATAAAAGTTCTCCATTGGAATGAAGAAAAAGAGAGAGAGAGTAAGAGAACTGAGGGTGTGCGTGTGTATGTAGTCATTTATCTAATTAGATATACAATTTAATGCTGTTGGCATTATAGAAGGTCCAGTTTGCAAAAAGAAAGGGTAAAAAGAAAAGTCTATTCCTGATCAGGGGCTCCTTTCGTCCTGGCTCTTTGCAAAGGACAGCCTTGCACATGTTGCTGCTTGCATTGCCACCTGGGTGCGGGGATTCCTCAGAGTTGCTCCCCTTGCTGTGGGGTCTTGGACTTCTCCCCATTGGCCTTTGAGACACTGGACTCCCAACATTCCCGCTCTCTTCTGAAATGCTTGAATTCTGAACACAAGTATAAAGCGGTCATAGTGGGACAAGATGAGCATAATAGAAATGTGCAAAAACGATGAAAAAAAAATCCATTTTCCTTTCCCGGACCTTCACATAAGGAGATCTAGTTCAGTTCCCATTTTCCTTTGCAAGGAGCCAGAGAAAGGACTCAGTGTAGGGGGATGGCTTTGAGTCAGTTATTTTGGGAAGCACATTATCTTAAGCTCGGCCTTCCACCCATGCAGTACTGCTCAGAGTTGAGAGGTGCGGTGTAGTCCTACCCACATGGAGAATGGAAGCACTAACAGCAACATGACGGTAACAAGTTTTGGTTATTTAGCAGATTTTAAGCAAATTATTCATACTGCACCCTACTTATAATTATCTCTATTACTGTGTGACTATAAATTTATACATAAGCGCACAAACACACTAGGTATGTGTGTTTGTCTATGTATAAATCAAGTATTTATAACACATATAAATATATGAACATACCACAGGTAGCGCTGATGGGAACACATGTCTAATATGAATTCCGATATAATCCTTTACAGCATAGTTTAAAAGATTGTCTAAATAAGCCTGACTATGACATTGGTTCAGTGTACGAGGATTTAGCTGGAGCTATGAGCACGATTATATATCATGGTATCTCGGCTGCTTCTCATCACACGTGTTTCATTTTGTCCCTCTAACTTCATATCCTGTTTCGTGAATTTGTTAGCGTTCTTTCTTTCCTGGGTTGGAGTCTCTAGTGGACTGAATCATGAACTTCAGAGTCAGAACATTTAGATTCAGTCCCAGTGGTGCCAGAAGCCAGTCTGGAGATGTCTAGCATGCCATTTAACTTCCCCAAGTCTCAATTTCCTCACCTATAAAAAAAAGGGGGGGAAGGGGCTAATTTGCTAACATATGTGAAAACTGTTTGGAAAACTATGAAACAATTTATTAATGGAAATGACTGTCAGAGTTTGGGCTGGTGAATTAGGTTTGTCACTGTTCTTGTAGTTTTTCATGAATTTGATGGCAGGCCACATTTTCGAGCAAGGCTGCTCCTTTTCTAAAACTTAGAAGAGCATGAGAAGAGGGGGTTGTGGAGGACCAGTGTGGAACATTCGAAGATATTCTGCAGTTCATTCAGCTACTTTAAAAGCAATCTGGTATTCTTTCAATGTAAGACGTCGCTGAAATCAGTACATACTCTTGAGACAACAGAGGAAAAAAATAATAATCAGCAATATAAATAACTACAAAGCTTTGCACTTGCATAGAACCTTTCATTTCAAGACCTTGAGGGACTTGTCAAAAGGTGAGAGAGGTGTGGTTTTTTTTGTTTGTATGTTTTTTTGCTTTTTCTCTTCAAAGGAAAACAGCACTGGAATGGAATGGAATGCTCCCATCTTCTCATTTGCCTTAAACAAATCCTTGCTCTAGAACTGCACAGCCCTTCTTGAATTTGATCCTTTAGAGTATTGCCTCTTTGCTCTCTGTTAAAATAAAACAAATAAGTTGCAGCTTCTTCCCCCAGTCCCGCAGAATGCAAACCTGCGCAGGTTTCAGGTCATCGCTGATGGAATCTAGAAAAGTTTTGTACAAATCTGCCCCTTTTTACTGTTTCACAGAGTGCCACAGTGTTTTAACAGTACCATGGGTCCTTAATAGGACATATACGTGCAAGTATATATCATGGAGATATGGCTTTCATTATATTATTATGTGTGTTCTGGAGGGTTTTTTTTTTTTTTTTT